AAAATAAACCAAATATTGTGCAAACAAATCATAACAGCGACGAAAAAAACTTTTGTTCCAGCTTATTGGAAGTTTATCGCGTTTATGAAAAATAAATGTTTTGGCAGCTGAGAAAAACTAATTAAGACAAACAACGAATAACTCAAAAGGGATACATTTCAAGGCTTAAAATGAGATCTTTCCCTTAAAGTATAATTTGACAGCCTGTCAGTCAATAGCGCAAGAAAAAAATCAAGTCAAGAATAAACAATACATATAATAACGCGGTTTTGTCAAGGTGAGTTCAGTAATTGCCTTTATCTGCAAGTTTTGGGGGCTGTTTAGGGCCTAAATTTTTAGAAAACGGGAAGAATCTTTTTTTTCCGCTGAAAAATTAAAACTGAAAATGCAAAATTCATCTCGACTTTGCTGGAAGATGGATTTGTCATTTGAAAGTATTTCATCGACGATACTGGCCTTGTTAAACATTATCTCTGGCGTTTTAGCTGTGAGCAGTAATCTGTTAGTTTTAACGGCTATTTCCAAGTTTTCTGCTTTGAGAACAGTGTCGAACTTTTTCATTGCTTCCCTTGCTGTGGCTGATATATCAGTTGGAGTGCTAATGAATCCAGTTTATGCCTCCATCTTTATCGTAAATGCAACGGAGAATAATCATCCACTGAGAGTCACAGAGCACTGGTTGTGGCTTCAAACCACTGTAGTGTCAACTTTTACTCTAACGGCTGTATCCATTGAGCGCCATATCGCTGTTACAAAGTGCTTCCGCTATACCGAGATTGTTACACTTAATCGCTGTATTTATGGCATTGCATCGATATGGATTTTCTCCATTCTGTATGCTTCTCAAAGGTTTTTATTTCACGGCGATGAGGATCTTCCATCACTGTGGATTTGCACAACAATATTGACTGTATTTCTTCCTTTTTTTGTCATTTCGTATTGTTACGTTTACATCTTCAAGGCTGCCCGATCACAATGCATACGCATAGCGGCCGATAACAGTCTCTGCAAAGAAGTTTTGAAAAACAAGAAAGCTGCCTGTACGCTGTGCATAGTGATCGGTCTTTTTGCTTTGTTATGGCTCCCGAGTCTCGCACTGTCCTTGTGGCATATTTCGGTCGCGGATCCTTTGGAAAGACAGTGCATTGACTACTTGTGGTTTTGGGCGGCATTTCTGTCATTCACTAGCTCGTTTTTCAATCCGTGGATCTATACAATTCGGACGAAAGAGTTCCGAATGGCTTTTCTGAAAGTATTACGAGTCAAATCAAAGTCTTGAGAAATGGACATCTGCGGACTACAATTCAAGTGATCACGATGACGATGAATCAGCAAGCATGTCTACTGTCCAGTTTTAGAGAGGAAAACTTATTCGTTAAGCATGCAGGAGAAAGTCCGATTTACTGACCCTTTTGGAGTGATGATGAAACTTCAAAAGTTTGTGAACACATAAAATATGGCATAACACAAAACTGTAAAATATATTTAAAGAGGCTCTTATTTTCCTTAGAAGTAGTCAGTTTTATTGGTAGCATTATTATGGTATCAAATTATTATAAACTTGGAAACTTAGTGAAGCTAGTAATTGCATTATATGGCTAAAAAAAGATGGCGCACAGCCTAGTTACTTGGCTCTCTCTCTAGTTTCCGTTTGCGCAAAGCTTTGTATTATTGGAAGAGCAAGGCGAATCTCTTTACTTGACGTCAACATTGCGTCATGGTCTACAATGGGGTCCAGGTTAGACCGAGCCAAAACGGGGAGGTCATTAGGATGGATGGGATTCACAACTAATGAAAAGAAGCGGTTCTTTAATGAAAAGTAGCTATGTAAAGTTCACGGAAGAACGGGAATTACCTTACTACAAAACAGTCTTGTCCAATATATTCGATGCATTTTAATTATGCAAGTATAATGACAAATTCTGTCAGCTCTGGGTAAAATAAACAATAACAAATGACTGTATGATTGCTTAGACGACCGCATCTAAGATAAGAATTATCACTTACTTGACATTAATAAAGTATTTCCTAAAAGTGATTTAAGTTGAGTATTTCACGGAGAGGTCGACAAGTTTACTCGGTAAAATGGTATTTATACAAAAGCGGAAAAAGCAAAATTTGATGTCATACATGATGTTATGATTACGTGCTAACTCCGAGAACTTTTAATTGTTATCCACGAGTTCAAAGCTGTGCTTGCAAAATTGACATTTATCTTTATTAAAATTATTCATTGTATCTCGTAAAGGCCTTTTGTGGAGGCTGATTCCTAAAAAAGAAAGCAACCATTTTATGACCATCATAAGCTGCATAACTTTGTAAAGACTTAATAGCGACACAGTGCGAATAACGCGAGCTATTGCTGATTACACTCCAATAAAACTTTTCTGAAATCACAAAATTAATTGTTCCTTTCAATTTACACAGGTTTTTAGCATAATGTACAATTTTCTCACTAAAAAGAAAAGGTTTATAACTTTGTGTCGTACTCCCCTGATAAATTGGTCATATCAACTCCAGCTGAAACATTAATAATTACTAAAGAAGGGGCTTCTTTGCAATTATTTTCTGTACAGCAGGCAATCTTCGATTTTCCACAGAAAATAGCCTGTAAATCTTCACGAAAAGCCTTGTTGTAATAAGCAAATATTAGAGGATTCAAAATTGAACTCGCTAAAGAAAATGTTATAGATATGGGCTCAAGAAGCAAAAAAATGACGACTGCAGAGTCCAGCTCGAAAGAGAATATCTGTAATTGCTAAATTTAGTAAGTGAAAATTCGAAAAGTTCTTGAAACATCTCCTCTTACGGATCAAAATACAGCAGACTATAGCATTCTCGACTAATCCACAAATCACTAAAATCCAACATATCACAAAGAGGGCACCAAAGTTCTCATCGTTCTCTGACAAAAAAGGTGCATTTTCGTTGCTGAAATTTTGCCCCTCTGAGAAATTCCGCCCCATTTATTTCTTGATCTTTATTTCGTTGTATCCTTGCCTCTACTCTTGTGCGTCTTACTTTTCAGAACCTCGTGTTTTATACCCACCACACGTAACTGTTAGAAGACAATTTACTAATTTAAAAGCCGAGATAGATAATGTTAACCGCATTTCGCTGGTATTGCGCTGTGCACAATTATAGAACCTGCTACATATTAACTTTTCTCTGTTAACTAAGTACAAAAGGAAACGTCACGACATATAGATTATAATACTTGGTGATTTTTTTTTTGGGTAAACACGCGACGAAAATAGAAAAAAGTAAGGCGTGGATATGAACCTTCGTGATACGTAAGTTTCTGTTTGTGGACACTGTAAGCGTTAAATAATAGTCATATTTTGAGGAAAAGCTTCTTACAGCAACTTGTAATAGTTTTGTCAAATGACGCAGGTGTAAATCACTGCGGGACACTGCAGGCGATGTGAACTCGACACAAATGGAAATAAAACGAGTGCTGCATTTCATCAAATATTCCCACTTTGCTTTTGTAATACTCTTTTAATATCACAAACTTTCAAGACTGAACTTCTTCTTTTTTAAAAGATACCTAATGTGCTTTTTGTAAACAGAGATAAGATGATTAATCTCGTCGATTGGATAATCTCTTCCTTGAATTAAAAAAAAATTGTACGTGACAGGTGTATTCCATTAGAGCAGTCATTTTCGTTCCTTCAGTTTTCCGCATCCTCACGGGTAAATACCCTAATAATCGTATGACAAATATAATTTACATTATTTTGCAAAAATTACGAGTATTTATCCTGATGCTTCTTTTCCAAGCCCTAAATCATCTCATTTCTCTGATTATCAACAGGTAAATTAACGCAAAAATATTACCGCTTTCAGTATGATGACATTTTGTGCGTCAGTTTGAAGAGCAGGATCCGAAAATAAATAATCAGAAATTGTAAACATTTTAAAATAACTTTTCATACACGTGAATTCTCTCTTTTTTTAACTATGGCCTATTTCATGAAGCGTATGGGTAGAGGTCATAAACTAAAGTCCTTCTTGTCTTGCATAATTTAAACACAGAACTCAACTGTCTTTTGGAATATACTTTTCTCTACAATAGCCACCGAAAGTCAAAATTTATCTGTAAGATAACATATCCTCATAGAGAAAGATGTTTTTCGTCTTGTCACGAGCGTGGTACAAAGAAAAAAATCTGAATCCCCCTGAGGAATCAAACCTCAGACCTCTGATGCTCTAAATGCTCTACCACTGAGCTACACAGAGTCTACGGTGAGCGAGGTGTATTACGAAGTTCACACGATAAGCGTCCTGCATACTGCTAAGATCAACAATGTCGATAGCATCAGCATCATGTATGTCATCATGTTCAGCATCATGTTTATAAATAGTATAAGAGAGATGGTAAGTTTTGAGCTCGGTAAAGAAATAGAGAAAGATGTAATTCGTCTTATCACGAGCGTGAAAAAATTTTGAGTAGAATTCTAACTCACAATTTAGAAGAAGAAGAAGAAACATTTATTGTTTACATTTGCATTTAAACTACATTTCTCAGAGTGGACAACAGGTGGCCAGATTATGACTGTTTTTTTTTAATTTGTCTAAGGATTGGAACGCCAAAATTCAGTCGTCGACCAAATTCAAACGACGGATTTGAGTAAGATTTCCGCACAGTCCCATACCTCATTAGATTTACATTTCCTGGACAAAGGAAACAATGGCGAAAACAATAGATTGCCTTAGGACTACGGCTTTGTTTTACAAAAATATGGGGCTATTCGGAAATGTTTCTTGGATTTGCACTGCCACACACGAAAGTGTTGATTACCTGTAAACCAGCCAGAGTTTCTTTGATAAATCATCAATTTTCGTAGAGTGTAGTTTCTACACCTTAACCGCAAAACGATTTGCTCGACGTCGAGACTCGGTTCGTTTTTGGAATATTTATTTTTAATTAAATTTCTGAGGTGAGTGTAACAGAGTTCGCAGCCTAACTGCGCGGCCTACGTCGTGGTATCACGAGTTTACTCTGCTAAAGGCACAACGATGTGTTTACGTTTCCCAAAACATTTCGCGCCTTTCATTCTACGAAAAATGTTGTATACTTCCTCTTTAAAGCTCGCGTTGTAAAAGCTAAATATCAGGGGGTTTAAAATGGAACTCATCAAAGACAACGTTTCAGATATGCCCTCAAATAATTGTAATGACTCATATAGTTCCTCGTTATCTGACTGTAATTCTGTCGAGCCTTCTCCCTCAACTTCCTCAGAATTTCTTCCCTCGAGAGAAAAAACTGTCACAGTTCTAACAATAGGATATGGACCCCATGTAATGAAATATGTAAGGACAATCAACACCATCATTTTGACGACTCGAAGTTTGGTCTTGATCATGTTTTTGTTAGATATCTTGGAACGATCCCGACGCCATAGGACAATCACAATTCTACTGTAAACAAATCCCATGAAAACCAAGGGAACGATGAACGCACCAAAAAGGAATACAGCTAAGGAAATCTGAAACGATAGGCCATGTTTGTCATCGCGGTTCCCAAATTTGTCCATAGTTTCATCATTTACTTCAACAGTCCACACTGTGCTGCTCAAAAATGGCGCAGACAAAAGCCCTCCGCAAGCCCACGAGAGTACCATCAGATTTCTACTGTGTTTCCATGTAATTGTCCTGGCCCTAAACGGATGAACAATGTGAATGTATCGATCAAATGATATTCCGGCCAGAATAGCAAATGTAACCGCCAAAGTAGTGTGTCTACTGAAGTCGACAATTTACATATGAAGTCGCTCCCGCCAATAATTTCTCCTGGCAGCAATTCCGGAACAGAAACGGCTCGAAAGAGAATATCTGAAATGGCCAGATTCAATAAATGAAAGTTGGAAAAGCTTTTGAAACATTTCCTCTTCTTGCGAATCAATATCCAACAGACAATAACGTTTTCCAAAACTCCCCACAGCACTAAAACCAAACCAAGCACAAAACGTAGACCATATTGGTTTCTATTTTGGTCGACGAGCTCTTCATGGCCACTAAATGTTCTTCCATTGTCAAATTCGGTGAAATTTAAGTCTTCTTCATCTTTCCAATCCATCTCAACAAACTTAATGATAAAATGAAGCAATAGGGCTAGAAGGCTAACAGAAGAAGTGAATTTTTCCCTGTAGATAAGCTTTTGTCTTCAACCTCGGCAATCTCCAAGCCGAATATGGCGTTTTAGTATTAAGAGAGTGTCTCTGTAAGAGCGGTCCGGTCGATTTTCCTTGAGACACGGATTTCGCTCGTTTCTTGTGTGTTGTAAGACATTCATGTACTTATACTAAAACAACAATCAGTTTGATCGGATCTCTTTATTTTTCAGAGTTTTACGGAAATTAAATTTCCCTCGAGCAAAGGCTTGTCGTGACACTTTTCAAGACTTTAATATTGTGCAGGTAAGAAATATACATTACATCAACTAATGAAGTAAGCTGTTTCATTGCCTTCGATCGGAAGTTTGTGAAAATAAACCAAATATTGTGCAAACAAATCATAACAGCGACGAAAAAAACTTTTGTTCCAGCTTATTGGAAGTTTATCGCCTTTATGAAAAACAAATGTTTAGGCAGCTGAGGAGAACTAATTAAGACAAACAACGAATAACTCAAAAGGGATACATTTCAAGGCTTAAAATGAGATCTTTCCCTTAAAGTATAATTTGTTAGTTTTTATGGCTATTTCCAAGTTTTCTGCTTTGAGGACACTGTCGAACTTTTTCATTGCTTCCCTTGCTGTGGCTGATATATCAGTTGGAATGCTAATGAATCCCGTTTATGCCTCCATCTTTATCGTAAATGCAACGGAGAATAATCATCCACTGAGAGTCACAGAGCACTGGTTGTGGCTTCAAACCACTGTAGTGTCAACTTTTACTCTAACGGCTGTATCCATTGAGCGCCATATTGCTGCTACAAAGTGCATCCGCTATACCGAGATTGTTACACTTAATCGCTGTATTTATGGAATTGCATCGATATGGATTTTCTCCATTATGTCTGCTTCTCAAAGGTTTTTATTTCATGGGCGATGAGGATCTTCCATCACTGTGGATTTGCACAACAATACAATTCGGACGAAAGAGTTCCGAATGGCTTTTCTGAAAGTATTACGAGTCAAATCAAAGTCTTGTGAAATGGACATCTGCGGACTACAATTCAAGTGATCACGATGACGATGAATCAGCAAGCATGTCTACTGTCCAGTTTTAGAGAGGAAAACTTATTCGTTAAGCATGCAGAAGAAAGTCCGATTTACTGACCCTTTTGGAGTGATGATGAAACTTCAAAAGTTTGTGAACAAACAAAATGTGGCATAACACAAAACTGTAAAATATATTTAAAGAGGCTCTTATTTTCCTTAGAAGTAGTTTTATTGGTAGCATTATTATGATATCATATTATTGATAACTTGGAAACTTAGTGAAGCTAGCGGAAGTCCAGTAATTGCATTATATGGCTAAAAAGAGATGGCGCACAGCCTAGTTACCAAGCTCTCTCTCTAGTTTCCGTTTGCGCAAAGCTTTGTATTATTGGAAGAGCAAGGCGAATCTCTCTACTTGACGTCAACATTGCGTCATGGTCTACAATGGGGTCCAGGTTAGACCGAACCAAAACGGGGAAGTCACTAGGATGGATTGGATTCACAACTAATGAAAAGAAGCAGTTCTTTAATGAAAAGTAGTTATGTAAAGTTCACGGAAGAACGGGAATTACCTTACTACAAAACAGTCTTGTCCAATATATTCGATGCATTTTAATTATGCAAGTATAATGACAAATTCTGTCAGCTCTGGGTAAAATAAACAATAACAAATGACTGTATGATTGCTTAGACGACCGCATCTAAGATTAGAATTATCACTTATTTGACATTAATAAAGTATTTTCTAAAAGTGATTTAAGTTGAGTATTTCACGAAGAAGTCGACAAGTTTACTCGGTAAAATAGTATTTATACAAAAGCGGAAAAAGCGGAAATTGATGTCATACATGATGTTATGATTACGTGCTAACTCCGAGAACTTTTAATTGTTGTCTACGAGTTCAAAGCTGTGCTTGCAAAATTGACATTTATCTTTATTAAAATTATTCATTGTATCTCGTAAAGGCCTCTTGTGGAGGCTGATTCCTAAAAAAGAAAGCAACCATTTTATGACCATCATAAGCTGCATAACTTTGTAAAGAGACCAGCAAGACTTAATAGCGACACAGTGCGAATAACGCGAGCTATTGCTGATTACACTCCAATAAAACTTTTCTGAAATCACAAAATTAATTGTTCCTTTCAATTTACACAGGTTTTTAGTATAATGTATAATTTTCTCCCTAAAAAGAAAAGGTTTATAACTTTGTGTCGTACTCCCCTGATAAATTGGTCATATCAACTCCAGCTGAAACATTAATAATTACTAAAGAAGGGGCTTCTTTGTAATTATTTTCTGTACAGCAGGCAATCTTCGATTTTTCACAGAAAATAGCATGTAAATCTTCACGAAAAGCCTTGTTGTAATAAGCAAATATTAGGGGATTCAAAATTGAACTCGCTAAAGAAAATGTTATAGATATGGGCTCAAGAAGCAAAAAAATGACGACTGCAGAGTCCAACTCCATACTTCCTGTGGAGCCTTCATTTTCATCTTCTTCAGAGACATAGCTTGTAGAAAGAAAGGTTTCCATGGTCTTTAGGATCAGTTTTGGACCCCATGTTATGAAATAAGTAATAACAATCAAAACCATCATTTTGACAACTCGTATTTTTACTTTTGCCATGTTTTTGTTGATAATTTTGTTGCGCGCTCGACTCCACAACACACTTACTATTCTGCCGTAAACAACTCCCATAAAAATCAGAGGAATTATAAACGAACATGCGAAGAAAACAGTTACGGAAATCTGAAATGGCAGGCCATGTTTATCTTCACAGTTCCCAGATGTTTCCAAGGTTTCTTTGTTCACATGGACTACCCACTCTGTGCTGTGTAAAACTGGCGCTGAACAGATTGCTGCGTAAATCCATTTTAAAATAACCACATTTCTGCTGTGTTTCCAAGTTATTCTTCTTGCTCTAAACGGATGAACAATGTGAATGTAGCGATCAAATGCAATTCCAGCAAGAAGAGCAAATGTAACTGCCAAAGTGGTGTATTTACCAAAGTCGATCAATTTACATGTAAAGTTACTGCCACTGAGTTCCATTGGTAACAAATCTGGGATGGAAACAGCTCGAAAGAGAATATCTGTAATTACTAAATTCATTACACGGAAATGTTGATTACCTGTAAACCAGCCAGAGTTTCTTTGATAAATCATCAATTTTCGTAGAGTGTAGTTTCTACACCTTAACCGCAAAACGATTTGCTCGACGTCGAGACTCGGTTCGTTTTTGGAATATTTATTTTTAATTAAATTTCTGAGGTGAGTGTAACAGAGTTCGCAGCCTAACTGCGCGGCCTACGTCGTGGTATCACGAGTTTACTCTGCTAAAGGCACAACGATGTGTTTACGTTTCCCAAAACATTTCGCGCCTTTCATTCTACGAAAAATGTTGTATACTTCCTCTTTAAAGCTCGCGTTGTAAAAGCTAAATATCAGGGGGTTTAAAATGGAACTCATCAAAGTCAACGGGTCAGATATGCCCTCAAATAATTGTAATGACTCATATAGTTCCTCGTTATCTGACTGTAATTCTGTCGAGCCTTCTCCCTCAACTTCCTCAGAATTTCTTCCCTCTAGAGAAAAAACTGTCACAGTTCTAACAATAAGATATGGACCCCATGTAATGAAATATGTAAGGACAATCAACACCATCATTTTGACGACTCGAAGTTTGGTCTTGATCATGTTTTTGTTAGATATCTTGGAACGATCCCGACGCCATAGGACAATCACAATTCTACTGTAAACAAATCCCATGAAAACCAAGGGAACGATGAACGCACCAAAAAGGAATACAGCTAAGGAAATCTGAAACGATAGGCCATGTTTGTCATCGCAGTTCCCAAATTTGTCCATAGTTTCATCATTTACTTCAACAGTCCACACTGTGCTGCTCAAAAATGGCGCAGACAAAAGCCCTCCGCAAGCCCACGAGAGTACCATCAGATTTCTACTGTGTTTCCATGTAATTGTCCTGGCCCTAAACGGATGAACAATGTGAATGTATCGATCAAATGATATTCCGGCCAGAATAGCAAATGTAACCGCCAAAGTAGTGTGTCTACTGAAGTCGATCAATTTACATATGAAGTCGCTCCCGCCAATAATTTCTCCTGGCAGCAATTCCGGAACAGAAACGGCTCGAAAGAGAATATCTGAAATGGCCAGATTCAATAAATGAAAGTTGGAAAAGCTTTTGAAACATTTCCTCTTCTTGCGAATCAATATCCAACAGACAATAACGTTTTCCAAAACTCCCCACAGCACTAAAACCAAACCAAGCACAAAATGTAGACCATGTTGGTTTCTATTTTGGTCGACGAGCTCTTCATGGCCACTAAATGTTCTTCCATTGTCAAATTCGGTGAAATTTAAGTCTTCTTCATCTTTCCAATCCATCTCAACAAACTTAATGATAAAATGAAGCAATAGGGCTAGAAGGCTAACAGAAGAAGTGAATTTTTCCCTGTAGATAAGCTTTTGTCTTCAACCTCGGCAATCTCCAAGCCGAATATGGCGTTTTAGTATTAAGAGAGTGTCTCTGTAAGAGCGGTCCGGTCGATTTCCTTGAGACACGGATTTCGCTCGTTTCTTGTGTGTTGTAAGACATTCATGTACTTATACTAAAACAACAATCAGTTTGATCGGATCTCTTTATTTTTCAGAGTTTTACGGAAATTAAATTTCCCTCGAGCAAAGGCTTGTCGTGACACTTTTCAAGACTTTAATATTGTGCAGGTAAGAAATATACATTACATCAACTAATGAAGTAAGCTGTTTCATTGCCTTCGATCGGAAGTTTGTGAAAATAAACCAAATATTGTGCAAACAAATCATAACAGCGACGAAAAAAACTTTTGTTCCAGCTTATTGGAAGTTTATCGCCTTTATGAAAAACAAATGTTTAGGCAGCTGAGGAGAACTAATTAAGACAAACAACGAATAACTCAAAAGGGATACATTTCAAGGCTTAAAATGAGATCTTTCCCTTAAAGTATAATTTGTTAGTTTTTATGGCTATTTCCAAGTTTTCTGCTTTGAGGACACTGTCGAACTTTTTCATTGCTTCCCTTGCTGTGGCTGATATATCAGTTGGAATGCTAATGAATCCCGTCTATGCCTCCATCTTTATCGTAAATGCAACGGAGAATAATCATCCACTGAGAGTCACAGAGCACTGGTTGTGGCTTCAAACCACTGTAGTGTCAACTTTTACTCTAACGGCTGTATCCATTGAGCGCCATATTGCTGCTACAAAGTGCATCCGCTATACCGAGATTGTTACACTTAATCGCTGTATTTATGGAATTGCATCGATATGGATTTTCTCCATTATGTCTGCTTCTCAAAGGTTTTTATTTCATGGGCGATGAGGATCTTCCATCACTGTGGATTTGCACAACAATACAATTCGGACGAAAGAGTTCCGAATGGCTTTTCTGAAAGTATTACGAGTCAAATCAAAGTCTTGAGAAATGGACATCTGCGGACTACAATTCAAGTGATCACGATGACGATGAATCAGCAAGCATGTCTACCGTCTACTGTCCAGTTTTAGAGAGGAAAACTTATTCGTTAAGCATGCAGAAGAAAGTCCGATTTACTGACCCTTTTGGAGTGATGATGAAACTTCAAAAGTTTGTGAACAAACAAAATGTGGCATAACACAAAACTGTAAAATATATTTAAAGAGGCTCTTATTTTCCTTAGAAGTAGTTTTATTGGTAGCATTATTATGATATCATATTATTGATAACTTGGAAACTTAGTGAAGCTAGCGGAAGTCCAGTAATTGCATTATATGGCTAAAAAGAGATGGCGCACAGCCTAGTTACCAAGCTCTCTCTCTAGTTTCTGTTTGCGCAAAGCTTTGTATTATTGGAAGAGCAAGGCGAATCTCTCTACTTGACGTCAACATTGCGTCATGGTCTACAATGGGGTCCAGGTTAGACCGAACCAAAACGGGGAAGTCACTAGGATGGATTGGATTCACAACTAATGAAAAGAAGCAGTTCTTTAATGAAAAGTAGCTATGTAAAGTTCACGGAAGAACGGGAATTACCTTACTACAAAACAGTCTTGTCCAATATATTCGATGCATTTTAATTATGCAAGTATAATGACAAATTCTGTCAGCTCTGGGTAAAATAAACAATAACAAATGACTGTATGATTGCTTAGACGACCGCATCTAAGATTAGAATTATCACTTACTTGACATTAATAAAGTATTTTCTAAAAGTGATTTAAGTTGAGTATTTCACGAAGAAGTCGACAAGTTTACTCGGTAAAATAGTATTTATACAAAAGCGGAAAAAGCGGAAATTGATGTCATACATGATGTTATGATTACGTGCTAACTCCGAGAACTTTTAATTGTTGTCTACGAGTTCAAAGCTGTGCTTGCAAAATTGACATTTATCTTTATTAAAATTATTCATTGTATCTCGTAAAGGCCTCTTGTGGAGGCTGATTCCTAAAAAAGAAAGCAACCATTTTATGACCATCATAAGCTGCATAACTTTGTAAAGAGACCAGCAAGACTTAATAGCGGCACAGTGCGAATAACGCGAGCTATTGCTGATTACACTCCAATAAAACTTTTCTGAAATCACAAAATTAATTGTTCCTTTCAATTTACACAGGTTTTTAGTATAATGTATAATTTTCTCCCTAAAAAGAAAAGGTTTATAACTTTGTGTCGTACTCCCCTGATAAATTGGTCATATCAACTCCAGCTGAAACATTAATAATTACTAAAGAAGGGGCTTCTTTGTAATTATTTTCTGTACAGCAGGCAATCTTCGATTTTCCACAGAAAATAGCATGTAAATCTTCACGAAAAGCCTTGTTGTAATAAGCAAATATTAGGGGATTCAAAATTGAACTCGCTAAAGAAAATGTTATAGATATGGGCTCAAGAAGCAAAAAAATGACGACTGCAGAGTCCAACTCCATACTTCCTGTGGAGCCTTCATTTTCATCTTCTTCAGAGACATAGCTTGTAGAAGGAAAGGTTTCCATGGTCTTTAGGATCAGTTTTGGACCCCAAGTTATGAAATAAGTAATAACAATCAAAACCATCATTTTGACAACTCGTATTTTTACTTTTGCCATGTTTTTGTTGATAATTTTGTTGCGCGCTCGACTCCACAACACACTTACTATTCTGCCGTAAACAACTCCCATAAAAATCAGAGGAATTATAAACGAACATGCGAAGAAAACAGTTACGGAAATCTGAAATGGCAGGCCATGTTTATCTTCACAGTTCCCAGATGTTTCCAAGGTTTCTTTGTTCACATGGACTACCCACTCTGTGCTGTGTAAAACTGGCGCTGAACAGATTGCTGCGTAAATCCATTTTAAAATAACCACATTTCTGCTGTGTTTCCAAGTTATTCTTCTTGCTCTAAACGGATGAACAATGTGAATGTAGCGATCAAATGCAATTCCAGCAAGAAGAGCAAATGTAACTGCCAAAGTGGTGTATTTACCAAAGTCGATCAATTTACATGTAAAGTTACTGCCACTGAGTTCCATTGGTAACAAATCTGGGATGGAAACAGCTCGAAAGAGAATATCTGTAATTACTAAATTCAGTAAGTGAAAATTCGAAAAGCTCTTGAAACATTTCCTCTTACGGATCAAAATACAGCAGACTATAGCATTCTCGACTAATCCACAAATCACTAAAATCCAACATATCACAAAGAGGGCACCAAAGTTCTCATCGTTCTCTGACAAAAAAGGTGCATTTTCGTTGCTGAAATTTTGCCCCTCTGAGAAATTCCGCCCCATTTATTTCTTGATCTTTATTTCGTTGTATCCTTGCCTCTACTCTTGTGCGTCTTACTTTTCAGAACCTCGTGTTTTATACCCACCACACGTAACTGTTAGAAGACAATTTACTAATTTAAAAGCCGAGATAGATAATGTTAACCGCATTTCGCTGGTATTGCGCTGTGCACAATTATAGAACCTGCTACATATTAACTTTTCTCTGTTAACTAAGTACAAAAGGAAACGTCACGACATATAGATTATAATACTTGGTGATTTTTTTTTTGGGTAAACACGCGACGAAAATAGAAAAAAGTAAGGCGTGGATATGAACCTTCGTGATACGTAAGTTTCTGTTTGTGGACACTGTAAGCGTTAAATAATAGTCATATTTTGAGGAAAAGCTTCTTACAGCAACTTGTAATAGTTTTGTCAAATGACGCAGGTGTAAATCACTGCGGGACACTGCAGGCGATGTGAACTCGACACAAATGGAAATAAAACGAGTGCTGCATTTCATCAAATATTCCCACTTTGCTTTTGTAATACTCTTTTAATATCACAAACTTTCAAGACTGAACTTCTTCTTTTTTAAAAGATACCTAATGTGCTTTTTGTAAACAGAGATAAGATGATTAATCTCGTCGATTGGATAATCTCTTCCTTGAATTAATAAAAAATGTACGAGACAGGTGTATTTCATTAGAGCAGTCATTTTCGCTCCGTCAGTTTTCCGCATCCTCACGGGTAAATACCCTAATAATCGTATGACAAATATAATTTACATTATTCTGCAAAAATTACGAGTATTTATCCTGATGCTTCTTTTCCAAGCCCTAAATCATCTCATTTCTCTGATTATCAGCAGGTAAATTAACGCAAAAATATTACCGCTTTCAGTATGATGACATTTTGTGCGTCAGTTTGAAGAGCAGGATCCGAAAACAAATAATCAGAAATTGTAAACATTTTAAAATAACTTTTCATACACGTGAATTCTCTCTTTTTTTAACTATGGCCTATTTCATGAAGCGTATGGGTAGAGGTCATAAACTGAAGTCCGACTTGATCGACTTTGGTAAATACACCACTTTGGCAGTTACATTTGCTCTTCTTGCTGGAATTGCATTTGATCGCTACATTCACATTGTTCATCCGTTTAGAGCAAGAAGAATAACTTGGAAACACAGCAGAAATGTGGTTATTTTAAAATAAATTTACGCAGCAATCTGTTCAGCGCAAGATTTACACAGCACAGAGTGGGTAGTCCATGTGAAGGAAGAAACCTTGGAAATATTTGGGAACTGTGAAGATAAACATGGCCTGCCATTTCAGATTTCCGTAACTGTTTTCTTCGCATGTTCGTTCATAATTCCTCTGATTTTTATGGGAGTTGTGTACGGCAGAATAATAAGTGTGTTGTGGAGTCGAGCGCACAACAAAATTATAAACAAAAACATGACAAAGGTAAAAATACGAGTTGTCAAAATGATGGTTTTGATTGTTATTACTTATTTCATAACATGGGGTCCAAAACTAATCCTAAAGACCATGAAAACCTTTCTTTTTGCAAGCTATGTCTCTGAAGAAGATGAAAATGAAGGCTCCACAGGAGGTATGGAGTTGGACTCTGCAGTCGTCATTTTTTTGCCTCTTGAGCCCATATCTATAACATATTTTAAACACAGAACTCAACTGCCTTTTGGAATATACTTTTCTCAACAATAACCACCGAAAGTCAAAATTTGTCTGTAAGATAACATATCCTCATAGAGAAAGATGTTTTTCGTCTTGTCACGAGCGTGGTACAAAGAAAAAAAATCTGAATCCCCCTGAGGAATCAAACCTCAGACCTCTGATGCTCTAAATGCTCTACCACTGAGACTCTACGGTGAGCGAGGTGTATTACGAAGTTCATACGATAAGCGTCCTGCATACTGCTAAGATCAACAATGTCGATAGCATCAGCATCATTTTAGTCATCATGTTCAGCATCATGTTTATAAATAGAATAAGTGAGATGGTAAGTTTTGAGCTCGGTAAAGAAAAAGAGAAAGATGTAATTCGTCTTGTCACGAGCGTGGGACAAAGAAAACATTTTGAGTAGAATTCTAACTCAGAATTTTTTCTTTGTCTCACGTTCGTGACAAGACGAGAAACACCTTTCTTTATTTCTTTATCGAGCTCAAACCTCACCATCTCTCTTAATCTGTTTATATCCCTCTTTGTTATCATTTATATATTGATATGTAGAGTAGGTTTTATCATCGAAGAAGTAAGAAACATTAATTGTTCACATTTGCATTTAAACTACATTTCTCAAAGTAAACAACAGGTGGCCAAATTATGACTGTTCTTTTTTAAATTTGTCTAAGGATTGGAACGCCAAAATTTAGTCGTCGACCAAATTCAAACGACGGATTTGAGTAAGATATACCTCCCATACCTCATTAGATTCACATTTCTTGGACAAAGGAAACAATGGCGAAAACAATAGATTGCCTTGGGACTACGGCTTTGTTTTACAAAAATATGGGGCTATTCGGAAATGTTTCTTGGATTTGCATTGCCACACACGAAAGTGTTGATTACCTGTAAACCAGCCAGAGTTTCTTTGATAAATCATCAATTTTCGTAGAGTACAGTTTCTGCACCTTAACCGCAAAACGATTTGCTCGACGTCGAGACTCGGTTCGTTTTTGGAATATTTATTTTTAATTCAAAAACTCATTAATAATTCATAAGCCCATTAACCCATCAAATGGTAGATAATATATCACGTGCAGTGACTTTATATCGATAAACCTCATCCTTATTTATTACTTAAATTACTTTAATTTCTGAGGCGAGTGTAACAGAGTTCGCAGCCTAACTGCGCGGCCTACGTCGTGGTATCACGAGTTTACTCTGCTAAAGGCACAACGATGTGTTTACGTTTCCCAAAAAATTTCGCGCCTTTCATTCTACGAAAAATGTTGTATACTTCCTCTTTAAAGCTAGCGTTATAAAAGCTAAATATCAGGGGGTTTAAAATGGAACTCATCAAAGACAACGTGTCAGATATGCCCTCAAATAATTGTAATGACTCATATAGTTCCTCGTTATCTGACTGTAATTCTGTCGAGCCTTCTCCCTCAACTTCCTCAGAATTTCTTCCCTCGAGAGAAAAAACTGTCACAGTTCTAACAATAAGATACGGACCCCATGTAATGAAATATGTAAGGACAATCAACACCATCATTTTGACGACTCGAAGTTTGGTCTTGATCATGTTTTTGTTAGATATCTTGGAACGATCCCGACGCCATAGGACAATCACAATTCTACTGTAAACAAATCCCATGAAAACCAAGGGAACGATGAACGCACCAACAAGGAATACAGCTAAGGAAATCTGAAACGATAGGCCATGTTTGTCAACGCAGTTCCCAAATTTGTCCATAGTTTCCTCGTTTACTTCAACAGTCCACACTGTGCTGCTCAAAAATGGCGCAGACAAAAGCCCTCCGCAAACCCACGAGAGTACCATCACATTTCTACTGTGTTTCCATGTAATTGTCCTGGCTCTAAACGGATGAACAATGTGAATGTATCGATCAAATGATATTCCGGCCAGAATAGCAAATGTTACCGCCAAAGTAGTGTGTCTACTGAAGTCGATCAATTTACATATGAAGTCGCTCCCGCCAATAATTTCTCCTGGCAGCAATTCCGGAACAGAAACGGCTCGAAAGAGAATATCTGTAATGGCCAGATTCAATAAATGAAAGTTGGAAAAGCTTTTGAAACATTTCCTCTTCTTGCGAATCAATATCCAACAGACAAAAACGTTTTCCAAAACTCCACACAGCACTAAAACCAAACCAAGCACAAAATGTAGACCATATTGGTTTCTATTTTGGTCGACGAGCTCTTCACGGCCACTAAATGTTCTTCCATCGTCAAATTCGGTGAAATTTAAATCTTCTTCATCTTTCCAATCCATCTCAACAAACTTAATGATAAAATGAAGCAACAGGGCTAGAAGGTTAACAGAAGAAGTGAATTTTTTTCCCTGTGGATAAGCTTTTGTCTTCAACCTCGGCAATCTCCAAGCCGAATATGGCGTTTCAGTATTAAGAGAGTGTCTCTGTAAGAGCGGTTCGGTCGACGACGCGAAGCGGAGTGGTTTCCAGCTTATCGAGTGTTTACATCAGGCTATGTAAACACGGAAACCATTTTACATTTCTTTTATAAAATAACTAATGAAAGAGGAACGAAAACCGTGATTACATACGCTCATGTAAAATGGTTTTATGGCCAATCAGAGCGCGCGTACTATTTTAATTATTTTATAAAACTGCTTCATCTTCGCGGCAATATCACGCTGGTATTTTGACATTCGGATCGACAAGAACGGTGATCAGGTAGCGATCGCCATGTTTACTTCATAAACGTGATCGCTGACCAGCCGCTGAGTGAAAACAGTACGGTTCAGTGGTGAGGGCGGGGTGAGGGGTGGATGCGGGCAGATTGTCAGAAGATTTTTGGGAACATTCGAACATATGCATTAAAGTATCATGATAAACATTAGGACTGCCAGTGTTAATGTGAAGGCGTGCTTCGTGTTGCAGACAGCTTTTGTTTTACTTAGTATTCTTTTTTTTCTTTCAAATACATTTCGTTCCAAATAGGACTAGCATCAACTCATAGATTTACAAACAAATCTTTACCACGTGAATAAATGTGTTTAGATAATCGAGATAACCATTGAACCTCTTGTATCGCACTAGAAATAACGTGTCTTGTCTTCGCCCAACTCTGAGAGCGTGGAGCGGCAAAGACGCGAGACACGAGTCTCGCGGCTTCTCTATGCTCACAGGATACGCGTGACCTCACTATCTTTAAGAAAAATAAGAGACTGCTCGAAGTCTGTATTCCGTTCAACCATTTCATAAGAGTCACGCGAGTCTTTCAATTGAGTGAGAAAGTCACAAACCCATTCTTTACCTCACGAGTGTAACTACTGACCACTTTGATGCGGAAATTGAAATCGTATCAAGTATACAAAGTTATAGTGAGTTCCTTTAGATCTCCCGAACTTGTATAACGTTGGAAACAATTACAAGTACAGGAAGAAGTCGTTCGTTAGCGAGATGTTCATTATGTCACAGGACTGCTTTTTGAATAGCAAAGATGGAAAAAACTTTGGTTGATCGCGTGGCTTAAGTGGTTTGGTACGACTGTCTGAATGTAATGACGAAGTAAAACATCATTTGATAAGCTGCCACCTGTCTAAAGAGGTCTTAAGTGAAAATGAGCTAATCTTGGCAAGGATTGGCCTATTTCACCTCGCTCAGGAGGATAAACAAAAAAAATGTGGATTTGCTATAGGTATCGCCACACTTTGGGGAAGTTTTGGAGAAGTGCAAAGGTAACATGTCAGTATCCTGATCATGATGGCGTCAGGAAGCGTATCCAAGGCAGAGATGTAATTATCTTGCATATGTCTCAGGACATTCAAAAGCTGTTTGGAGTTATTATTCCAGTTGAATCTGGTAATCTTCAGTAACATTTTCTGTTATATATTTTTGTCACGTGACATATTTGCTCGAAAAGAGAAGAAATTATTTATTAGATGAAGGGTACTTAAGTGCACATCACGTTGAAAAAACATGGATCTATGTGTAAGTGCTTTTAATTGCAGATAGAAATATGTACAATGTTGCTTGGTTGATAATCAATAATGTGTTTGTAAAAGGTTAAATCACCTGACAACGCAATACACTTATTCATGCGCACGGTTCACAATTATTTGCGGTCAGTTTTCCTCATGCGATCAGTTTGTATGATTCTCATTAACCAGTATGATTAAATTTGCAGACTAAAACACCCCTTATTTGATTAAGAATAATAAAATTAAACAGTGCATCACGGTTTTCAATTCCTGATGGATGCTACTGGGCTTTACTTTAACTGAGAAATTTGCAATCGCTTACCTCAGCTCTCTGTGTCCCATGCCGTAAGAGGCACAAGAAAAAAGTTGATGATAGTGAGTCTTGGCTGAGACAAGAAGAATCAGAGAAGAATCTACGGTCCCCAGAAACGCCACTTTTAAACACGAGACAACTAAGGTAAATTGAATTAAGGGGTATTTGTTTTATTGAAAACTATCGTTCAGGTTATAAGATACGCGAATAACTCTCCCCACCGATTTTTTCTTATATTCTGTTAATCAAAAGTTTCAATAATTATAAAGGCTTTCTTGTTGATCGTCTTAATAGTAACAGTTTCCAGGATCCAAGGGGAGCAAAAGAGAGAACAATTTTCTGTGTAGTTAGGTAAGGCGACATGCCGGCTTTATACTTCTTCCGACGTGAAAACGATAATGATGACAACAATGGGTTAAAAGCACCGTCCGCTACTGATGACGATTATTATAGTTATAAACAAATCTCAGTTAAAGTCCTGAAAAAAATCTCAGGGGGTCCTTTTCACTTTCACTGTTTTCACTCAGCGGCTGGTCATCGGTCACGTTTATGAGGTAAACATACCGATCGATTCCTGATCACCGTGCTTGTCGATCGGAAAATCAAAATAATGAGCGTGATATTGCCGCGAAGATGAAGCAGTTGTGTTATTTGATTCGTACTTCACATTCGAGTCGAAGCTTGGGTGGCACAGGTTATTTCTTATGGTGGAATCGACGAGGGGAATTCGAACACTAGTTGTAGTGTTTGAATTGTTGGAAGAAATGGTCGCATGGGGATGGTAAATTTAGCGAACAATTTCAAATTTTGCCGCTTGAATTGAAAGTAAAGTTCATTTGAATTGCTTTCGTATGTATTTCTGACGGTTTTAGATCTACCTGCTTGATTTATATCGGTTACGCTTCATGTTGACAAGTCCCTCAAAATGGCGGCCAAACTTGTAGATTACCGAAAATTAGGTAAGTTCACGTAGTTATAAAGTTCTCGTTAAGGTCGGGCCGCAAAGTTTTTTTCTATAGTTACCTTTTCTATGGCACCTACTTCCTGGCTATGTTAGTTGGATCAGTTAAGAACGCCTCACTTTTTCAAAAATTTACCTTGAATCTGATAGGTTTTGGCGTGTGTGATTTAGGCGATCCGATAGGGTGTTTAAGTCTTCCTGTTTCCTTGATTGAAACGTGATGTTTGCGAAAGTCGCCTCGATAGATAAGATAAAGTCAATATACATGGCTGTGGTAGTTGTTTTTTTCTGAGTTCCGTAGTTTTTTGTAAATTGTCCTCCAAAGTTGTATGAAATTAAAGTCTTGAAAAGTGTCACGACAAGCCTTTGCTCGAGTGAAAACTCCGAAAAGTAAAGAGATCCGATCAAACTGATTGTTGTTTTAGTATAGGTACATGAATGTCTTACAACACACAAGAAACAAGCAAAATCGACCGGACCGCTCTTACAGAGACACTCTCTTAAAATCCTTAGTAACTTTGACATTCAACTCACCCGTGGATGATCGATACTGCAAATTCTATTTGAAAAAACAATATGCCAGGAGGCAATCGCCATCATTCTCGTACATATTTTCCCAGCATCTAACACTAATAGCATCGTCAAATCGATTAAATACACCTTACGTCAAACAGCTTTCAAAAATAACCATTAGAAAACTTAACAGCTGTCGTAGCCAAATGGAGGTAAGATTATAAGGTGTTTTAAAATGGTCACGTCATTTTGATAGAAACACTAATTTTTTGATAGATCACAGCTTCCACAATTTACGTTTCCCCCCCTTTAAATTCACATTAAAGTAAAGTTTAAATAGTTCTCCACAATTTGTGATCTTTTTCGATAATTTTTTTTAATAATGGAGGTTACCATAGAAACAATACAGCCTTTCTAATTAACCCCTACTATTTCTACATCTGCTTATGTATACGAAAATCAGCTCTCAAAATAAATCTCTCTGTAACGATGTCATAAAAAGTTGTACATACAGTTTGGAGCCATCTCACTTTTTTTTTGATCGGTTAATCATGGTGGCTCTCTTGGAAAAAAAATGAATTTTTAATACGCTGATTGCAATTTAAAATATGTGGGTCAAAGAACTCGTTTTTTTAGTTATGAATACATAGCACTAAAATTAAAGGCGCTTCTAAGGAGCTATAGTATCGCTGTGGTAACCAAGCATGTCATAAAGAATGATTAAAACAATGCATATTATTTTAGCACATTTTTAAAAGGAACAAACGAAAAGTTGTGGTGGTATCGATGCATCAAATAATTTCAGTTTTAAACTGATAAAACTATTTCGAGAGAAGAAGTATACAACGCCTAAGAAAACGTCGATTGGAAAAATAAACCAACATTTGTCTGACTTTCATTTAATAACATGTGATAGCCTGGGTGGCTGGCGCCGAAATGAAGAGGAGACGGGGGAGGGGAGAGCTAATTCGAGTGTGGATCGCGAACGTTGAGGTCTTAGCGTTCCAGCTTAATGTTCCCTTTACGGTATCAAATGATTACTTCCGTCTGGGCAGTCGTAACGTCAGTCATTAATACCAACAACGGCCCTTCTCAAGACTACCCTCACCCGAACGAACAAACTACACGATCAAATGTTACCCCCGGGTTCAAAATATTTACGGTATCTACTCTGTGCGCTGGCTGAAGGCAACACTCCCATGGCTAACGTCGAGCTTCCATTGGAAGCGTGAATTATTTCACGTCAGCGCTCCCGTTCTGAGATTAAGCCGCAAATTTGGTGATCTCGCACTACTTGCACAATTGGTTTCCAAAAATAATTCCACATATACAAAGTTCACCTACAGTGCTTTAATTCAAATACAAAATTCTTCTCCAACATGTCCTCGTTCACATGACCTTCGCACTTGGCATAAATTTCTAGGAGATTGTCGGTTTTCGTGATGAAAGCGTCTAAGAAAAAAGGGGCCACTCCTGATCCTCTTACACTAAACGGGTCTCTTCAAGCTGACAATAGTAAAATTCAACAATTGGCATCACTGAGTCGTTTCTCGATTGATTATTGACAGAAAACAAAACTAGAATTCAGTATGTGAGCACGCTCTTATTTAAGCTTAGGCACGAGCGGCGAAGCCCGCTCGGATCAGTTTCGCGGGAAACCTTAGGAAATCCGTGGCTTACTCGAACACATCAGTAACTTGATTCGGTACATGTCCCTTGAGGTACATCTTCAGTCGTTTACTACCACTTTTCTACTAAAAACTTTATTTTTTCGATTTTCAATTATCTAATCGTGATGATTACTTCTGAGGTAAGTGTTCGCTACCTACCTCTTTAACTAATGCACAATTCAAATGTAATTAAAATGTCCTTAAAAGCCTGCCTGCGGCTTAAACAGCCTGCGCTCGGTATAAATTAAACAATGATCGCCAGTTAACGTTCTTCAAACAGACCGCACAATTACATTTTTCATAAACACAATATCTTTCGCATTTTACAACTTCGTTTCTAGACAATCTTCTGTAATTACTGCTCCGTTTTCTAACGAGTTATTATTTCCAACAGCTCTCGTGTTGTCTTCTTCCATCAAGACAATTTCGGTAGTTTTCATTATTTCAACTGTTTCAGTTTTCTTTTCAACTTTTTTCGGTTTTTTTGCCTTGTGCTTGCATTTTTGAAAAATGTTAAAACGCTTTCCTCCACAACAACATTTCTTGAGATCTTCTCGAAAAGACTTACTGTAATAACCAAAGATTACGGGATTCAGAATCGAACTTGTAAATGTAAACGTATGTATGATATCGTCAATGATTAGTAACTTTATGTAGTATTTCTGCGCTTCTATTTGGGATTCGTAGGAAATTTCTTCTCCCTCCCAGAAATAATCGTCTTCCAGAGAAATAACCTCGAAAGCTTGAAGGCAAAGCCAAATCAGTTGTGGACCCCAGCTGATGGAATAAGCCAATACAATAATGACCATCATTTTAACGGCTCGAACCTTTGCTTCGGCTAGTTTTGAATTGATCACTTTACTTCGCGCGTGCTGCCAGAGACTTTTCAAAACCTTGCTGTATGCCACAGCCATAAGAACTAAAGGGATTAAAAATGCAAACACGAGAAACACAGTGGAGGAAACTTGAGATGGAATGCCCAAAATGGGAAGACATATCTCGTATACTGACCTGTCCGTCAGATTCCAATCCAATTTAGTGTATTTCATACTGAACAGGATTGGCGATGAACAAAGTGCCGCGTACAGCCATGAAATCACCACAACATTTCGGCTGTGTTTCCATGTGATTTTCCTTGCTTTAATAGGACGAACAATATGTACATAGCGATCGAAAGCCATTCCTAAAAGCAGCGCGAATGTTACGGCCAATGTGGTGTAGGAGGAAAACGCGCCCAGCTTGCAAACTGCGTTGTTGCCATGTTCAACAGCAGTGTTTTCAATGGTAGCAAGCACTGGCGTAAGAGCTACTCTAAAAACTATATCAGTTAATGCAATATTGAAGAGGTGAAAGTTCGAAAAGTTCTTCGTTAATCTTTTCTGTCGGAGAAGAACACCACATACAGTACAGTTAGCAATGACACCCAGGAAGGCCAAGAGAAGTCGAACCGCAATGGCAGCGTTCAGAAATATATCGTACATCTGATATCCAGCGACGTATTCTTCCTCAGACAGCGAGGAGCGGTCATCTACGTCGTTGTCTTCACTATCGTTCATTGTGTGTTAATTGCAAAAGGAAAAAAGTTTTTGACGAGTTACAGCGCCACAAGTTAAGTCGGCAAGTTATGAGGCAACACTAAAGAGTTTTAAAAAGGACTGCCTTGCTTTGAAGGAAAAACCATTCACTTGGAACAATGAACATGAACACTACATGAAGAACAATTTACCTCCTGTGGTTTAAGTACTTTCTGTTTGTATGGAAACAAAACCCTTGCGTAAAAAAATTCATCTTATACAGAAGTTATAATTCTTATGACCGCTTGTACACTGTCTCAAAGTGTTAATTACAGACAGAATGATGTGCTTGTTCAAATATAGGTACGAACGCATCAAAAAAACCATTTTGAATAGAGACTGAGATAAGGGCACGGAGTATTGCTGTTTGTAACAGATTATAACAACTGGCAGATTAATTATCAATTCCAATGACAATCACAACCATGTCTCTTTGGCAATTTCCCTCAAACAGTTCGAATCAACATTACTCTGTGAATGAACTTTAATTTCCAAGTACCTTGAGTTCCCTATGATGAATTTGTAGTCCTAGCAGCTGAATCCACGGAGTCACTAAAAAGGCTATTTCTATTCATGACAAATTACGTAGTTAACAATGGCCATAAGCAGATGAATCCGAACAGAGTAAATTTGACAAATTGCACGTACATGTCAAAGTGTGTCAACTGAAAAAATTATTATTTAAACAAAATTACCAGCATACTAATGACATTCGAAGTTTATTGAGAAACAATCGGAAGGAGTGATTCCTTCGACAAATACCTTTTTTGTTCAAAATGAACAATTTGACGCCTAAATTGTTAATGAAACAAACTCAGCCTCACATACGAATCAGTTAATCTGGATATTGGGCGATTTTATAGTTTTCTGAATAAAATACCTCAAGGAATGCAAGAAATACTTCTAGAACCGCAAAAAAAAAACAAAACAAAAAAAAACATAATGCCCTATAACGCAAAGAATACCATTAGGGCTTTAAGAAAGACCCCTAGAACAGTAAAAAATACCCCTTGGACTACTAGAAATACCCCTTCGAGTGTACAAAATATCACTTCATTACTCTTCACATTATTAGGAATTCCTCAGCCTGGGAATTCCTTTACCACAGAGGTAAGACATGACAATCCCATGATCGATGTATCAAAGACTTCTTTCATTACACTCTGGGAGTTTTACGTAATCCTTTTGTTTTCCTTTCAGCCCAAACGGTCACTTTACTAGAGTTCCTATGTGTATCTTCAATTACATTGGGGGCAACACTTCGATGAAGTATTTCAGTGGAACTCTAGTCTATTACAACGTATGAAGACAGACTTTAGATCACCATGTTAACTCCTGGAAATTACTGTATTTTCCCTATGAAAATATAAGCCCGTTCTAACAGGACATCTGCAAATTATTCTGTCCCCTAATCAGGAATATCATGCAATCTGCTCACTTCATCCAAACAGCTCCTCGAGCAGCAACAAAAGGCAAATGAACACGTAGTGTCACGCAATCCTTGGAAGATTTCGGCGCTGGTAATACGCAATGCTGTGTTTGCGCTTTCTTCCTGGAGGAATACCGCTGTGAAGTAAGAACTGTCACAAACGAAACAGTGTCCTGTGGGCGCAGCCAGTAGCGTGGTCACGTGGGATGGTAGCTCAAGAGACGAAAGTTTTTCAACACTGACTGACCGAACTATGCAAAGGAAATAACCATGGTAACGGAAGTCTTTAGAAGTAACAAGTTTTCAGTCACAAAAACACGGTCTTAATTTACCAATACGAATTACAAATACAGAGATCACCAGAAGATCTGCAGAAGCATTGGTTTGTGGGAATAAAGTGCAAAACTACTCAATACCTGACCATGATGTTATAGGCACACTAAAAAACTATATGTTACAATAATCTAAATAATTTAAAAAGTTGGTGTGCAAAAAACGCTGCATTCATTGTGTGTATCGCAATAAAAATTATATTTTCGGTCCTACAGTGGAGGATCTAAAAAAAACTCTTGAACATATTTGGTTAATTGTGTGAGCACTCTGCAGAGAACTACAAAAATGCACATTTTGCTGCACTGATCATACTTGTCTTTTGATTTGTGTGACCTTTTGCAATTCCTTATTTTTATTTCATTAATATGACTACCACACTTTTCCACCTTTCTGGAAAATTTTTGGTAGTTTGTACGTTACCTAAAAATTCTGATTTTAACCCACCGTGTAATCTTGCAAGGCCAAGTACTCCAAAGTTTCATATTTAATTCAATGCCAGAAATCAAGTACATTTCGATTAAGCAAAACTTTTAATTATAAGTCACAACAACAATCAAACCAAAGACAATAAGATGTACTCACCAAAGCAGTGCACTTTTCTGAAGCACAACTCAAGGAGAGGAAGGATTCTTCCACTGCTCCCTTGAAGAATATTCCTTAAATTCAACACCTCCACCAATTCTGTCGAAAAAATATATTGCAACTGTAAAACATATTAGTTGTAAAAGTCTCCCAAAACTTGGAATATAATAATCTTCAATGAATTGGTAGCACCTTTACAAAGGAATGTAATTAAAATGCTACTGCTTAGACTTAAATTCTCACCTTTAGAATCTCTCCCTGGCAGTCTGGCCAGCTCCTTAGTGGCACTAAGTAATCAAGAGAGAATGTTACTCAAATTTATGTCCCATCTCTAAGTCTAAAATAAAATATGAGAAGAGAACTTCCAGCTTGCTGTATAAAGGGGTCTGCAACTACTGTTCAGTACTCCTTTGGAGTTTTCCACCTAGAATTGGCAACAGAGGCAATTTGAAATAAAAAAGCGATCAATTAACTAATGTAAATGACATTTTTTATCACATAATTTTGTAACTTTTTCCTTACACCACTCTTTGAGTGAATAAGTTCTTCATGGCCATAATTTACAATAATGTGGACCATCACAGAAGGTTATCAGGGTAAATTTGTTTCAGATTTGAAACACATACCAACCACTCAAGCCAATCATTTTTAAATCCTTCATTTTCAATAGTGTTGCTGGTAACAGCTGAAGTTTGGTATTGTGATCCAGTATCAGTGACTCCAGCGATGAGAGTTTATTCAAATCTGCGAAGTCACAACACAAGTAAAATTCTGAATCATGAAGATCTATATATGTATCATCCACTGAACTTGAAGGAAAAAAAACTTTCTTCTTGGCAGTACTATGAATTTCTTTTTAGCAGTTAAACATAGCCAAACTTGAATTATCTACAGGTATGTGGATTAAGGGATGCTAAAAGTTTACCTTGAGGCAAAGTACACAAATTATTTCCACTTGCATACAGTTCAGCCAGTCCTTGATGTGTCATTAATTGATGTGGAATCTTCTGAACTGCATTCCCATCAAATGACAGAATCTTGAGTGATGAACAGTTACACAGTTGCCATGGTAACCACTCAAGCTTGTTGTTCATGACATTGAGATCTCTCAAATTGGTGAGATTTCCAAGCTCTACAAACAACCAAAGAATCAGTGTGATTTGTTATTGTAATTCATCACTTTTCCTTGACAATGAAGCAATCAAGCACATCTTAAAAGTAAAAAGGCCTGCCTGGTCAGGGCTAAATCTAATCATCAAAAAATATAAACAACAATGTTCTTCTGACTAAAATAACATGCCTACCTTTAGGTAAAAATGTCAACTGATTGTTGGCAAGTTCAAGGGAAGTCAGTGATTTCAGCTGACTGACAGCTGGTGTCAGGATCTTAAGGTGGTTGAAACTGACATTTAATTTTTCAAGCACTTGAAGTTTTCCAATCTCTACAAGCCAGAATAACACATTTTCATCAGACTCCCATGCATGAACACCAGTATCTTTAAATTGCCTTGTCTCAGAATCTCAGCTGAATTGCATAAATCTCTGAAAATCTCATAAAATGTTTTTGATAAAAGCCTCATCAGTTAAGTTTGAATAAGAGACTGACTTTAGAATAACCTTAATAATTTATGCTAGTGTAGCATGGAGTTCTTTGCATGGTCAAATGGTAATTTTCAAAAGATTACCACTATAGAATTATGAAAAGAAAAAATTGGTGAAGTTCACATTTTCAATATTTTATAATCATGAAAAGGCTGACAAGAATTATTTACCATCTGGAAGGTGATGAAGGTAATTAGAATGTATATATCTGCAAAAAGAAAAACATCATAAATCAGATTAATTCAATACCACCTTTAAATTAGTTTGTTGCTATTAAAACCACTTCTTAACCCTGCAAGCATCTTAATTCTCTAACCTCCAGTTTAAATTTGTGCCAAAACCATTTTTAAATGGGTCATAATCACAATAGAGAAGTCTATAAAATATACCACAGTACACCAACCCACTTAACTTGTTCAAAGACCTGTACTGACCCAGTTGATCTGAGTCAAAGTTAGCAAACTCAGGGAAAGTGGGTTACTTTATGGAGCAAAGGGAAACCTCAAAAGCTGATTTACTTAAATGAGAGTATTTGCTCATTTACTTAAAAACGATCTTCACATAAAGTTTACTTACAGCTCTACCAGATTTTCAAGCTTCCAGATATCTGCAGGCTAAAGTGTAAAAAGCAATGCGATAAATTCATGAGGAAATAGTTTTTCAAATGTTTTATTAAGCCTATTTATGGTTTCTTACCAGCTTGGTCAGAACATTTTGTTTGAGGTAAAGTTTCTTTATCCTGGACAAATTAAGAAGTTCCTCAGGCAACTCGCTAAGCTTACGATAATTCAAGTAGAGATTGGTATGTCCTTTGGACTGAGCTTCCCAAATTTCTTCATTTACAGACTCACACATTAAACTTTCCTGACCAAAATTGATGGAAGCGTGTCAGTAAGCCTATGTGCGAATACCAGCAGATGAAATTTAGCGCCTTTTCAATTGCTGGATTCCGTCGCCATGATAATCAACGTCCGTAAATTCGCGGGCTCAGTCAATAGCGACACACACGCAAATATGGCGGGCTCAAAAACATCGCCGCGAAATTATTTTCACTATTTAAATAAACCAAATTGTTTTGCCCAAACCTGTACGATTTTATAATCAGGCTGAAGGGGATAGATGATGCTGAGATATCTTACAACGCAGAAGTTTGACAACAAATGACATGAACGCTCATGAACTAGATTGCAAATGTGAAGAACTAGGAAGTAGTTTCCAGTCTTTCTGGATGATGATAGCCAGCGGTGTTTATCATGAGGACGTTGTTTTCTGCACATGTTAATCTTTTGTGTATGGTTTCGTTACTCCTCTATCAGTAATGTTTGAGTATTTATGGCGAAGCAGAGTGTAGAAATTATAACCTGCCATTTTATGTGTATTTCCGCTTGACTCGTTCGAAGGAAAGGACGATCAGAAACCCTTCGCCAAGCACGTGTCCGAAACAGACTAGCTCAGCTGAGTTAATTTCATGATACATAACCCGTGTCATAAAGGGAATAGTCTTTTTCTTTGGATATAGATCATGAGAAATCTTGAACTACTGAGGAGTTTTCCAGTGCTGGAGTTGGAAGGAACTGAGGACCCATTTTGTTTGTCAGTGGATTGTGATTGTGGAGTTATTTACACTGCAACATCTACTCACATAACAGGCGTCCAGCCCTCCACTCATCAGGTACAACACTGCAGTAGGCCGTATAATTCTGCCTTTGAAAATTCGCCCTTGATAATTTTTGAAGCCACTATTAATAACTGCTGTACAATAGCCATTAGCATTTTTTTAGTTTTTTTTCATTTTTATTCTACAGGCTGTAAGTTCTGTTTCACTTGTATCCGATGGGTACCTGCCAGAAGATGGTAGTGGCTGTGTTATTGGAATGCAGCACTTGCCAGACTTGGAATCTGTATGTGTGGCCACTGCAAAAGGAGATGTAATTCTTTGGAATACAGTTACTGACCAGGTAAGCCGAGGTCTGGTTTGGGTAATTTTCAAGAACAAATCCCTCAAAAAAAAAAGAACAGTCAAAAATAACCCAAAATGGGAGTGGAAGTTGAAGCTCTAGGTTTGAGACCTGGCCAAGTCATTGTCTCAGGCTGGGGTGCTTGTGTTGGTTCACGCTCAAGATACTTTTGTAGTGTCTAACTCTCTACTCATGATCAACCATTAACATCAAACCCAATGGCTAAAATCAGAGGGGATGGGTTGAAGAGGCCATGGGATGAAATAGGGGAAGAAGAGGAGGTTAATTATAATAGGTTTTTTTTTTGGATAAACTGAAATCTTGAATTATTTGTACCTCACACAACTTACCTTTTCATCATTGAGAAGAAAATATATATTACAGTTTGATGGTAGTATTTCCCAGTAAATCATGTAAAAAAGAGAAAAAAAGGGAAAAATCATTTGAAAAATTTAAGCCTTGATGAGGATCTTGACATGTCCAGGTATGTGGTTCAGTCAATATGTTCCTTTGTCAGGTTGAATGTGTTGGCAGTGTGGACAATGGGCTCAGGTGTATGGAATGGAGTCCTGATCAAGAGCTTGTGGTATTCATGACAGGTTGGAAAATATTATTCATGTTGATGACCTTTAAGAAATTAATTCTATTGGTATGCTGTTTTGATATAGCACACAAAAACTAATTTACACATCTTTATGAAATCTGAAGACTTTTCCTTTGACATTTTTAAGGAGAAGAAACTCTTATCATAATGACAAAGGATTTTGATGCCATTTGTGAGTTCCCTTTTCACTCAGAGGAGTTTGGTGAAGGTGAGTCATCCAATTGCTTACAGCACCTTTGTATTAATTGTTGCAGGCTCTCCAAAATAAGGCACAACTCACTATCAAAAGATCTTTAATTTTTATACTATTACAAGTATTGTTAAGGTTTTTTTTTTTTAATTTTAGATTTACTGAGGAATATAAATACAGATCTGTTAAGACTTAATTCATATGTATATATTTTCTTGTCAGAAAAACCAATCACAGTTGGTTGGGGAAAAAAAGAAACACAGTTCCATGGGTCCCAAGGCAAACCAACAGCTGCTGATGTACAGGAAGTTGTGAGTGTGATTTTCTTTAGTACATGGTGTAATATACTTGTGGTGATATTTATACCTGTGTACTTTAAATCTCACAGAGAGAATTACATACAGTGTTTTTACTTTGAAGTTTTATTAGCATCCACAGAAGGGTACTTCAAGTAGGAAGTTCACTTGAATCTTTTTTGCTGCATTTGTAGGATTGCAAATTGACTTTGATTTCATTCTACAACAGATTGCCAAGCCTGCTGCAAGTTGGGATGACAGGAAACCAAGAATCAGCTGGCGTGGTGATGGACAATTTTTCGCAGCCAGTGCAATCCATCCTTTGACAGGTATCTGCTTTAGCACATCATTTTTGTTCTTAATACTCCTACCTTCATCTCTCCCCTCCCCTAATAAATATCACACTTTGCTTTTGGGCATTGTACAACTTCAACTTCACTAACTATGGCTCATTCTGAAATCTATGTCTCCAGTCATGTCAATTTATTTTTGTTCACAATTTTATTCAGCATCCAAATGTATGTACCATAAGTCACGCATGAAAATGATTGTATGTTGTTTGATGATAGGTGCAAGGAAATTGAGAGTGTGGAATAGGGAAGGTGTACTTAGCTCTACAAGTGAAAATGTTGATGGATTGGAACAGGTATTATTTTGGAGGTAGGTTCATGAAAGTCGTCAGCAAAGTTTTGTTGCTTTCCCTCAAGCTCATTTGCCTCTTTTTTTTTCTATTTTTTTATACAGTTTTTATTTAATTGCCTTTACTTTTTTCCATTTTTTTAAACATTTGTTTTTATAATTACCTTTTTAGACCATCAGGCAGCTTAATAGCTTCAACCCAGCGCAAGCCTCATAGACATGAAGTGATTTTCTTTGAGAGAAATGGCCTCAGACATGGAGAATTTGTGCTTCCTTTTGGCAAGATGGAAGTTCAGGTAAATAGCAGTTAATGGTTTACACCATAACATCAGTATGCATAATCTCCATACTGCTCTCCATACATGAGGTGAAAAAGGAGAATTTGTATAACAATCACATCAGAACTTCCTTTGCTGGTGATCATTTCTTTTATTCTTGTTACCTCAATATGTGATTCAGGGGTGATATTGTAAAGAGAAACTGATCACCACAAGGTTAAAGCATTAAACATGCTGTAACAATATTTTATGGCTGATTTGGCACAATATGGTTTTGTTTAAGTTGAATAAAAACCTCATTGAGGCTGTAATCTCTGGCTTTTATGATCATAAATGATAATAGCTATAAAAAGCTCATGGGCATAACAATATCAGAGCAGATGTGTGTGGCCTTAAACATGTTGCCTTTCTTTCTTTCTTTCTTTTTTTTGTTTTTGTTTTTTTTTGGGGGGGGGCTGTAGTAGACTGTCATTGATAGTTCTCATTGTGTGGTTGCAATGTGCCACTTCCCAAAAGAGTGGCTGCTTGGTAAATATTAACATTTTGTATGTTGTAATAATGTCTTGTACAAGGTATTGGAAATAGCATGGAATAATGACTCATCAGTACTAGCTGTCTGGTCTGAAGAGTTACCAAGCACAGAACAGATAGAAGAATTTGTACCAAAGTCTTATGGTTTGTTTTCTTCATTTATAAACCCTGTAAACCCCAATATCGTTATAAATATTCTCCCCACTGTACTCTATACGTTGCCTAAGATGTTGACACGGAGAATTTGTTTGACAACAGAGAGCTTGGTGATCATGTCCTTTATTCTCGTGATTCAGGGGTCATATTGCAAGGAGAATTTAGATGCTGGTCACTCTTGGGGATCAAAAGGTTTCTTAGACGCGTGTCATTTTTATTTAGATGTAAAACTGAAGTGGTAGGAATCACTCTCACTCTCATCTTTTCCAAGTAACAATGTTGTTAGATATGGCTCTCTAGTTGTTCTTTCACTAATACTATGCTAAGATAACACTAACATATTAATGTTTTACCTTGTGACTTGCAGTTCAGTTGTGGACAGTGAATAATTATCACTGGTATCTGAAGCAGCAGATGGAATTCCCAGCATCTGCTAAACATAGAGTGGCCTGTCTTTTATGGGACCCAGAGGCTGCCCTAAGAATGCACATCATGACGAGAGGTAAGAATGAACACATGCAAATTGTAGCACATTGGTTGCAAGATAAATGTCATTATTAAGCAAATATATATGATCTTGCATGTGCCAGTTGTCCAAAATTGAGATGAGTTAGTGGTCTTGGTCTGGTGACACTGAGCTCAACAAATGCATTTTAAAATAATTTCCTTGCACAGGAGGCCAGTACTTGAGTTATGAGTGGTGTTGGAATACAGTTCATAGTGAAGGGGCTAGTGAACAAAACATGTCCACTGTAGCAGTCATTGATGGAGGTATAGTTGTAGCATTTTGAAAGTGTTTAATTGTTAGAGAAGTTTGATTTAAAATTATTCTCTGTTCCCTGTGTAAAATAGATCTTGTTCATAAGTAGGTAGCTCATGAGTAAGGTTTCCACATTTTCCATGTTCCCACATTTATGTTCATACTTGTAGATGTACATAGGTGTGGCAAGTTATTGTCAAGTTTTGGTTTGCGTAAATATGCATGGCCATTTATGAATTCAGCCATGTGTATTTTTACCCTTTGCCCCACTAAAAATGACTAGCATCCAAGTCCTCCTTATGATGTCACCCATAAATTAAATGTCAAGGTCAGGAGGCTAAAGGGAATGACCACCAACTTAAAAACCTATTGATTGTTGAACAAATTCTCCTTGCCAGCATCCTAGGAAATGTATAGAGAACAGTATGGAGAATATTTGTATTGATGTTTGGATGTAAAAGCCAGGTTTAGTTCAGATATTCCTTATCTTATTTGTAGCTAAGTTGTTGCTGACTCCAATGAAACACATGGTGGTTCCCCCTCCAATGTCTGCCTATGCCCTGGACCTGCCATCCCCAGCGTCCACCATCAGCTTTGCTCCACCCACACACTGTAGTGATATGGCAGTTATGATGTCCAATGGCAAGATGGCAATCTTCAAATTATTGACAGAAAATGGCGTAAAAGAAGTGTTCAGGGCACCTGGCAAAGCCCCAAACCTTGTTGGCATTTACAGGTAACACAGTGTTGTTATTTTTCTCATTACAAAATGCTTTCTCTTGGTACAGAAATTGACAGATAATGAAAAGATGCATTTAAATTGTTTACTTGTGTTCTCTTCCAAGCTACAACCATTTTGGTACCCATGGGGACTTAAAAACAATTTTGGCAACTAATAGTCACCAACTTGGATACCTGTGTTTGACCTCCATGTGATATGTTGTTACATTTTTAGAACCAAGTTTTAGGGTTTGAAGACAAGACGATCCTAGACCCAGGCAACCATTTTGTAATTTTAGGATGTGGAATGGAGACTTTGAGTAGCTTGGAGTTCTAACTGATGTTTGCACACAAGCTTCTTGCTTATTTACTCATTCTTTATTATGTGTTTCTTGTACATAACAGTATAGACACCAAAGACTTTCCAACAGTATGGACAGGAGCCTTGTGTTGGCGGCAGATGATTTGGTGGAAGGACTGCACCCTTATCGCAGTTGGATGGGATACCATGAGTCAGAAAGACATTGTTTGTGAATTAGAGATCTCTGCAGAAGATGGGGCTAATAGCATTGCTATCAGGTAAGAGTTGAACTTATGTGTATTCACAGTGATACAGTCTTACTTATTTCTATTTCCTTTGTGAATCACAGCCAGTCTGCCATTAACAGGGTTTCATTATAGTAGATTGTGAGCCAGGCAATATACCCACATAACATGCAAAGTTATATCAGCAGAAGTCATTGATTCTAAACTCAATGCTGGTGGGTGTCTAGTTGTTCCTTTCAACTGAGTAAACTTCTGTTAAACTCTTGAGATTTTTTTTTTTACATGATTTGCAACACCCTCAATTTTTCAAAACACTCTCCATTACCTTTCGTTTGTTAAAAATTTATTTGTTAAGAAATCCAAATAAACAGAGGTCTACATAACCAGCATACTTGAGAATGCAAGTCACTATGAACCCTTTTACTCACAAGAGCGACTAGCATCTAAATTCTCACAGCAAAATTTCAAGGAAATGTGTAGAAGCTAGAGGGGAGAATTTACAATGTCACTGCTGAATCAAACTTTAAGGCCACGAGAGTAAAGGAAATGATCACCATGTAGAGAAGCTCTTTATTGTTGAACAAATTCTCCTTATCAGCACCTTAGAAATGTTTAGTGAACAGTATAGAGAATACGGAGGATGTAAAGGTTTCACTAAGCTTTATTACTCCCAATTTCTTCTCTTTTCTTCTCAGGCGCACGACTGAAACCGACACGCCAGTCCTTCGTCTTTGTGCCCGTCGTCACACTGAGTCTGTATTAGTGGAGCTCATCAATGGAAACTTACTTAGTTACACTTCAGGTATCTAACTTGAAAGGCGAGTTGAGTCCTTATTCAAAGGTCTCCTAGATCTGACGTGACATATTTATTTTGTTTTCAGATTCAAGTCAGGCTAAATTATCACCATGGTTTAACAGTCGAGGACTTGAAATCTCTCTCCCTCAACCGTGCCAGTGTGTAAAAACAGCCTTAGTGGGAGATGAGGTTTGTAACTCAAATATAATTTTGTTCAGTGGTCAAAGTTGACCCGAGTCTCCTCACCTTCTGTAGTTGTTAGACATTTTTGAAGCAGTTTCTTTCGGACAGAAAAGACGTGCAGTCATAGTATCACAGTGAGGAATTAATCTCCCCCCCCCCCTTCCCTCCCCACCCTTCCTAAAGCCTCAAGCCCCAATTTTACTTAAGGACCTTCGTCAAATGAATAAAACAGCGATGTCATATCCAGTTTCTATGGCGGATTAATTCCTGGAACAGGATAAAAAAAAAAAACACCCGTGAAGGCAGATGAACTTTGATTGTTTCCCAATCGAGAATTAAATGTCAAATACAAAATTCGTCAACCTCAGGCAAAAGTTAAACCCTGACATTTTGATCTGGACTCATGAAAACTTTCCCCGAAGCCATTGTGCCGTAACTAAGAAATCCTTTTTTTTTTAATTTACAGGAAGTCGTTCTGGGATTGACTGAACACTCAAGGTTATATGCGAATAACAAAGAGGTACGATTCTGTATTTTGATGTTTTTATCGTAGTGCCAAATACCACAGCTGACGGCGGAACACAATTTGAATTTTACATTATAGGTGGCTTCAAACTGCTCTTCCTTCGCTGTTCATGATGAATTTCTTCTTCTAACAACGCATGCGCACACGTTGCGTTGTATAAGTCTTTTACCAACCACGCGAGGTAGGTTCCAGACCTTTTGATTAGAAACTTATTTTCATCACTAAGATCGACACGAATTCTTAGAAATAAAGCACTTGCAAAATTAAGGTGACATTTTTCCATATCCGAACTCTGAGTTAGTGCGGTTAAGAATCCATCACCTTCAGCCCCACAAACTTGTCTGATCTCAGCAAAAGCTTACTTCAGACTACTCCTTGATGTCGTAGGTTTGCCAGTTTTGATTGAAGATAAACCACATCCTTTGGATGAAAACATAAGACGCGTCGAGAGAGGTTCACGGATAGTGGTCGCTGTTATTCAAGATACGAAAGTTATTTTGCAGGTACGAGAGCAGGAATACTTTTAAAAGACTTCATTTTTCCACAGTGGAATTCTTTTACATTCAAGCCTCCTTTTCTTAACAAGTTACGGAAAACGCGATGGCGTTTAGGTTACCGTGTTGAACTCTGAATCGAGAAGTCTGGGTCCGAGAGGCCATGACGGGGTCATCTGAGTTGTGTTCTTACGTAAGACTCTGAACTCTCACAATGCTCTCTCCGCCAAACTGCCAGGAAATACTCGCTAATTGCTGGGTGGATTCACAAGCGATGGTCTCGCACACCATCCAGAAAGAATGAAGTTTTCCTAGTCGCTCCTTTCTAAAGAAACACGGTTAAGTTGCGTAGCTACTCAATTCAGCTTCGTATACAGACCCTATTTTAGTGACAAGAACTTTTGCCCGAATTTTTCCTTATGCGGCTAATGTATACAACTGAAGTGTTACCTTTGTCTGATTATCCTCGTAGATGCCTCGTGGAAATATAGAGACTATTCATCCTCGATCACTAGTTTTGTCGTACTTAAAGAAATGTTTAGACAGGTGAGTAGGCCTGGTGATAAGACTGGATTTTTGACGAGACTTGAAACCAGGTAACTAGTGTCTAAAATCGGACGTTGGTGCTTTAAAAACGGACACTAGTCTCAGAATAATTGGATTTAAGACACTGGCGACCAAAAGCAGACTCCAGTGTCTAAAATGGGACATTGTTGTCTAAAATCGAAACTCTAGTGTCTAAAATAGGACACTATAGAGTCTAAAATCCGTCAATGCTGTCTAAAACCAGACGCTACTGTTTAAGAGTGGAGAACAGTGTCTAAAATTGGACAATAGTGTCTAAAATTAGTCACTACTGTCTAAAATCACACGCTAACGTCTAAAAGTGGGGAACAGAGTCTAAAATTGGACTATAGTGTCTAGAGTCGGTCACCACAGTCTAAAATCATACGCCAGCGTCTAAAAGTGGAGAACAGTGTTTAAAATTGAACAACAGTGTCTAGAATCGGGCACTAGTGTTTAAAATCAGACGCAAGTGTCTAAAAGCAGACGCTAGTGTCTAAAATCGGACATAGTGTCTAAAATCAGATTCTAGTGTCTAATATTGGACAACAGCGCCTTAAATAGACTACTCTGATATAGAATTGGGCATGGTCATGTTGATCAATGTACCTTTGGTATTTCAGTCTCAGCTATGGAGAGGCCTTTACTGTAATGCGCCGTCATCGGATCAATCTTAACTTGATACACGACCACAATCCCAAGGTGAGTATCACTTTTTTATGGCTGAATGAAACCAAATTAGTGGTACAAGTTTCTTGCACTCAAGACCGGGGCCGGGGAACCGGTCATGTGAGCGAGCATTTTTGGTTTTCTTTATTTGTTTATTTATTTATAATAAAATATCTACTGAAATTCTGTCTTTCGCAGCTTTTCTTGGAAAATTTGGATAAATTTGTGAGTCATGTGGAATCGGTAAATTTTATCAACCTATTCCTCACGGATCTTAAGTATGTGGTTTTCTGAATTTCGATTTCCAATTTAAAAGTGTCAAAAAGTTTACGATCGGGTGTTTTTAATTTCTTGATTTTTTTTTTCTCTGGCAGAGAGGAAGATGTGACTACCACGATGTATTCTGATTATTATTCTGAATCAAAACAGACGTACGTGTTTATTTAAAATGTTTTCAACACTTTCCACCCTAACGTCAGTATGTATATTCTCCATACTTGCCTCTGGCATTCACGTTCTCACAAGCACAGTCGTTTGACAGCTTTGTTGGTTGCCATGGTAATAGCAACTTTTCGTCTTCTTTGCTTTGATTTATCACCAACCTGTTGTTAAAACACCTTTTGCTGGCGCACTGGCGTCTTTTTAGATTGTTTGAAAGGAGCTCTCACTATAAGCGCTGCAAGACGCATGTTTCCCTGCCCGTGGGAAGATTGGAGACGAGTTGGGTAGAGGTTTGGTTAGACTCCTTTCAGAACTGTCGCTGACTCGTATTGTTCAAGGTCTCATACTTCCCACTGGCAGAGAAAAGCTCGTGCAGGAGCGCTAATAACGAGCGCTTGTTGCGTCGTAGTATTTTAAAACGGTTCTTCTTTCAACAGCCCTGTTGCGTCTCTGGGTGATGAGTTAAGTAAAGTTGATCGAGTTTG